AAATAAAATATGCCTGCTATTTTAGGACATCATTCAGGAATTACTTGTTCCTTGTCAGATACAATAATAAAATCCACTTCTTCTGAATATGAAGTTTATTATGATATGATTAAGTATGATAAATCTGTGTAATTGGGTTGTAGAAATATTGTAACTTTCAATGCTATAAAATTTGTATCTTTGTATCAGATGTCAAAATACTATGTATCAGTGTACACCTGGGAGCATGGGTTCCTAAGTAGAAAGCAAATTTTTGCCATTGCTAATTTTTCTATAAAGCACCATAGATTATTTAAAAGTACAGGACCATTTTAATCAACTAATTCCATAAGTAATGGCAGAATAATAATTCCATGTGTTTTATTATAAACAGATGTCGTCTTGCCATATTTAAAGACTATATACAAATTCTAATACATCTTCCTCATATAAATAGCCTACTTACAAGAGACAGCAACACTGGAATTAGGCCTGAATGTGTCCTTGTTCCATGACCTACAACTGTGAAACGTTCGGCAAGTGACTCAATCTTTCTGAGCCTCAGTTTCTTCATCTGTAAGATGTAATTAATAACATTCATAAGTCAGTGAGTTTACATTTCAGTACGTTCTAGAGGTCCTGAGTAATCCCTTATTTTTTTTTTTTAAAGATTTTATTTATTTATTTGAGAGAGAGAGAGAATGAGAGACAGAGATCATGAGAGAGAGGAGGGTCAGAGGGAGAAGCAGACTCCCTGCCGAGCAGGGAGCCCGATGCGGGACTCGATCCAGTGACTCCAGGATCATGACCTGAGCCGAAGGCAGTCGCTTAACCAACTGAGCCACCCAGGCGCCCCCTGAGTAATCCCTTATTGATAGGTATTTCTTCTGCCCCCCAACCCCCCATGAGTCTCAGTCTGAAAGGAAATTACCAGATTTTGTAGGATTTGACCACTCTATGCTTACATGTTGTCAGTGAATGTAACAGAACCCGTTCCTGCATTCTCTGTCCCTGGCCCTTTCTCCCGAACTGTCACATTCACCTGCACAGGTACAACTCAGCATTCCTGGAGCATGCACCACACTGCCATGGGATTCCCAGAGGGCTGTATGTTCATTCTATTCAGGGGCTCAGTTTCTCCACAGATCAGGATTATTGCTTTCAATCCTAATTGTTCTCAGGGATGCTTCCCGCCTCATCCCATACATATTCACATACACAGGAACTAGAACATAGCAGGCGAGGGATGCATGGGGGGCCGGATGAGTGACCAGCTATCAGATGTCTTTCTGAGTATCAACTGCTAGAGTCCTAACTCTTTCGCTCTGCTTTGGATGAAAGGCACACAAGTTAACCAAAACCAGAAGCTTGAGCTCCAGCTTAACTGATGCATTTAAAGACTGAGATGACTACTTGCCATTTTAATAACAGTGTCTACTAACTAAATAGAAGTCCATTTGGCCTTTTCAGATCCAAGATATTTGCTTTCCCACAAAAGCATCAACTTAATTATGGCTTACAGGAAAAATTACAGTGGGTTGAAGGAAGAACTTAAAATAGGATTTCAGTCAACCTGAGAACTGAAATAGAAGATTCTGATGATTGGTGTGTATTATATAAAGTACATCTAAATATTCAATCCTGTACTTCTCTTAATTTTAAGGGGGAGAAAAAAAGAAACCTTGTTTATGCCAAATAAAAAACTTTGGTTATTTAACTAAAAATAAGCTTTACATAATGGATCCAGATTTTAACTATGTAATAACTTGTTAGCAGTTGGCCTTCTAAATCAAATGTGTCGATGAACTAAAATACATAGCTTGGAGTTTGAAATAAAAATGTTATACCAATGGAAAAGGGGAACCTTTGAAACCCATCTTTTCAAACAGAAACATGTGTAGGGAGAAATTGGTAGCAAAGAAAGAGAGGATGAGTAGATAAAAAGATTTGTCTTCAGTTTCCATGCATCAAAAGAAGAAATGATTGCTTACATATAGCCCAAACTGGAATGAAAATCGTTTGGAGAATCTATTCTCGAAATAGCTCTTTTAAAGAATTCTCAATTAAAAAAAAAAATTCCTATCTGCTGCTAGATAGAAACCTTGTCATAAGAACATATGACTTATGGGGCGCCTGGGTGGCTCAGTCGGTTAAGCATCTGCCTTTGGCTCAGGTCATGATCCCAGGGTCCTGGGATCGAGTCCCACGTGAGGCAAAAAGCATGCTTCTCTCTCTCCCTCTGCTGCTCCCCCTGCTTGCACTCTCTCTCTCTGTCAAATAAATAATATCTTAAAAAAAAAACGTATGACTTAAGTTCCATATTACTCCAGCAAGAGACATCAGAGTTCAAACAACTTATTATTGGAAAGGATAACTATAATGTTAATAGGATTAGGCTTGCCTTTTTTTAAAGACTAAATTATTCCTAAGTCAAATGACTTAGGGCTGGGGACTATCCAGAACATTTTCTAAATACCAAAAAGGAAAAATGGGTGCAATTCTGCACACCTCCTGAGATTAAAAGTATCCCCTTCAAGTTTGATTATTTCACTCACAGAAAAACTGAATGACTCCAATTCCTTAGAAAGATATAATTATCAAACCTCCACACACATAAGAATAGATACTTTTCCAAATAAGGGTAATTACTCCCAGAAACTTCCTCAATTTTCTTTTATTCAGATTTGATTTAAAAGGATATTTATAAAGGCAACACAGCCATCTAGTGGGCAGATTTTTAACAGCGGATTATTTTATTTTGGAGAGGTTTAAGTTTATGAAATAAAAACTTAAGCCAAATAAAATACTCGTTTTATGACACATGATTCTATTTCTCATATATCATACGATTATTACACATGATTATCAAAAGCAGGGGGAATACTTTTAGGGGCAATGTTTTGTTTTGTTTTTTTAGATAAGCATTGTATCACATTTCCAAATACAAATTTCTAGCCACCATTCCCATCCCCACATACCCCATTCAAAACCGAGCCATTTTTCCAAAATGTATACAGAAAACTGATGAGGTTGAAGTCATAGGCTTGACGATAACTGATTTGTTTATGTGAGAAAAGATGGATGGCCTATGGTTACTGCCCCACCTTCTGGTGCCTTTTCTCTTCCGTTTGTCATCTTTTCTAAGCAATGTATCGGTGCCGTTCTCCTTTCTGCATTCCCTTCTCAAAGTTACTCTGCTGATGGGAGCAAGTTGTACTTCCCAGGAGGCTCTTGGCAGTAGCAACACCTGATCTGCAGTCATGAGTAGCATCCTCTCTTCTCTTCCTCATTTAGGCTTTGCTGTCAAAACCCTCTGTATCACTCCTTCCTGGTCATCTCAAATTCCAGGGAATTAAGAAATTGTTCCTTGCCAGTATCTACCGTATATTCAGCCCTCTGGGCAGTAACTCCTATAGCCCAATAGCCATGGGACAATTCCAAGAGAGAAGGCATTTGCACGCAGTCAACTGGTTTGTCCTGAGGTTTCCCGCTTCCAAACATTGAAGAGCAATCCATCTTTGTAAATAACTAAGAAGCTAAAAAAGGCCACAATTAATTCTTTTATATAAAGAGAAGTGGCATTGAGTAGTGAAGATGAACATGAGACCAGAAGTCAGAAGATGGGAGTTCAAGGCCAGCCCTGATATGATTTAGTTGTGGGAGTGGTGTAGATCAACCTCGGGGACTGTTTCCTCTGAAATAAAATGGGAATGATGAATAACAAATCCCCTGCTTACCTTACAGGACAGTTGTGAGGAAGAAGTAGTAAGGTAATGTATGAGGAGGGCTTTTACAATAATGGCAGAGTGTAAGGCTTTATTTCCTCAAGTTGAAATTAAAAGGTCTTTGGTAAACATGGAATTGTCATTTCAATATGTGACTAATTTGCCCTTACATTTAATTAAGCATGTGTAATAATTTGCCTTTTTGTCTCAAGTTTTTACTCTTTGCTTTGCAACCTTGTGTAGTGGGTCTTAACATTATCCCCTTATGAGAGGAGGGAAATAAAGCAATAAAAGCAAAAGTCATCATAAAGGAGGTATATTTACTTTTGGAGAGCACCTCATTGTCTTCTTGGCCTGTTACATAAGCACACCTCACTGCCTATTCTAATGTATCACTGCCACCCTGAAACATCTGATCGGCCCATTTTGATCTACATTTATATCGTGCCTTTTTACAACTCCCAGCCTCTTACATGTGACTTTCCCCCCTCTGCTTGGAATTCCCTTTGTCCCGGTCTCATCTGAAACACCTGCCTTCATTGTTCAGCTCAGTTTAATCATTACCTCCTCTGCAAAGCCTTTCTCAATTCTCTCATGCAAAAGTGTAGACACTGTAACTACCTAAGAAACATTATATGCATACCACTATTTTATCTCTCATTGCAGTGCTGTGTGATGCTTATTACCTGTCAGAGCTTTTCACTTTCAGAGGCTCTGTCATATTCATCTTGAATTTCCAACCCAGGCAACATTGCATGAACCAGGTGTCTCATACATATTTATAAATTGTTGTTGACTCCTAAATAAAGCTGTGGTATTATTTTACCATGGTATTTTTACTGGGGGAAAAAAATGAAACATTTGAAGAATAACCTACCAATTATTTTTCAGAGTCTGAAGGATGTTGATTCCATTTTTGCACTGGAAAATTTGAGGTAGAAGCTGTTAAATAAAAAAAGAAAAACTGATACACTGTGAGAATTTTAAAATACTGAATAGTATCTGTCTTTACCAATGACAGTGGATCTTTCTTGAGCCTTGATGTCATAGTGAATTAAATTCAAGCATCCTATTGATTCTTCAGCTGAGATTTTGTGTAAATTTATGTGGTTTTGTGATCGGCCCCCATTCTAGAGTTACCATGGCTACTGCAAAGTTTTCATCTTATTTGCAGCCATTTCAAGGGCTCTCCCTAAGAACCAGTTGTTTTTCCTACAAAAGTAGACTGTCTTCCAAAATAGGCCCCACACACATCCATGATGATAAATCAGTAGGTAAGCTCTGTAACGGGCAGCAGGTAATGTTTTCCCCACCCTACTCATTCAGCGCCCCTGTAAGCAAACAAAAAATTCACCCACACACAAGGAAAGCATATTTCCTTATTTTCTGAAATGTACCAAATGTATTTCTCCCTTCTCAAAGTCACCATTCTATAGAATTTCTAATGGGGTTTTAAATGCTTATTTTCGTATACTTAGCCTAGATTATTGGCACTGTCTTCTATAAAATACTTAAGCTTTGATCAAGACTCCCACAGTGAGCATTATACATGCATTCTGGTCTCTTTATGGCTTTAGTTGCTTAAAAAGCAGAAATGTTAGTTAAGAATGTTACAAACATTGTATAAGTGAGAAAAAAAACATGTCTCCACATGACTACTTGTGACTGTTAAACTTGGTTTACTTTTAGAGCGTTTCTCAAGCACATGAACTATGTATATGTTGATTTAGAGCAAATATTTCCTGTCATTTATTACCTTAAAAAAAAAACCAACTCCACTATATTACTTAGAACAAGACCAGCTGAAACTTAGTCATTCCTAAGACATAGATGGTAAGCAGTCTAGTACCAACTCTGTTACCATTTTATCCATTTCTCTTCATCTTTTTAAAGTGGCATTATTAGCAGTTCTTCATAACTGGAACTTTGAAACCAATTTTTTAAGAATGGTAGTAAAGGAAAGTTAATTAAAAGGACACTTGACAATTGCTGAAAGTCCATTTCTTTCTACAGGGTAATATTTAATCCAATATTAGATCAAGAAACGGAGTAAACACTGAACAGTTAAGCAGTTATTGAATATCTGTTATAAGCAGTTTTAGTACAAATGTGTGTCCATATTTTACCATCTGTAGAAATGAAAGATACAAACACAACCCAATATTTCATGATGATCACTCTAATATGGTGGCATTTGGGATGTTTGTAAATATCACAGAAACAGATATAAGAGCCAGAATTCATGTTCAGAAACTTGTGAATCACGCATGTGGAGTCCAGATTTGTTACTCTACAGCAAAGACACAATGGAGAACAAATTTTTTTTTCTAAGATATTGCCTAAAGTGAAGTACAGCTGCATTTGTGTGCACACTCTTCGGGACACTGTGGAAATGGAACAGAAATAAATTCTCAAGGAGTTTATTATTTAATCAGTGAAAGCAAGCTCATTATCTGGCCTTTTTATGGTACCTTACCGTGTGTGTGCGCACATACACATACAAGCTCAGTAAAGGTTGGCAGAATGGGTATTAATATCCTATTTAAATATGATCTCTCCAGAATTTACAAAAATTTTGCACATTTTATATATTTGGCATCATGAATTTCGCCCAGGAAATTTCACAGGATGTTGTCAATATGTATTCCTACCTCCTCCCACCCACTTTCCCATAATTACTGGAAAGATATCAAATTCCAGAAAAGCACTCCTACTCAGAGATACTTTGAGAGAGGGTAATGGATCTCCTCTCAAACACATCCCTGACAGAAGTGTGTTGCTACATCGAGGGCTGAGTGTTCTGGACTACCTCAAGCTGCAGATATATTCACAGAATCCACACGCAGACACATAAACAACAGTGCTGCTCTCTCTGAATCCCACCTCACTGTTTTCCCCGTGGCTACCCCACACTGAAGGCATGGAGGGTTCTAACCCTGGAACTGCTGCCTCTCTGCAGAGCACTAGTCAGTTTGCTGGGTGTTCAACGATCAGCGTTTCTGCTTCCCAGAATCCTTTGAGCCACACCACTTTTGCAATTCCCATTGAATTCTCTTTTCTCCGGATAGTCCACTTTCCCAAGTACATTTTCCTATCTAACCTCTTTCAGTTGCAGATTGGCCTCTCTTCCTTAGATTCTTCCCTTTCCAGCATTCTCTCTATCCTTACCCTTGCTCATGAGAATCAAAGAATGAATTAATGTTTGGGTGCCCGGGTGGCTCAGTTGGTTAAGTGTCCGACTCTTGCTTTTGGCTCAGGTCATGATCTCATGGGTTGTGAGACTGAGCCCCGTGTCGGGCTCTGCACTCAGCACGGAGTCTGCTTGAGGATTCTCTCCCTCTGCTTCCCCCCCGCCCCGTTCGTTCTCTCTCTCTCTCAAATAAATAAATTAAAAAAAAAAAAAAAGAATGAATTAATGAGCCAATGTCTCCACTTCCATTACCAAGCTTCTCAGATTTAAGAACAATGGCTTGTTGGAATCCTTGTCCTACTAACCCCCTTCCTTTTGCTACAACCTTATTTAGTGCCCCTTTTCTGCATTCACACAAGTAGTATGTTGCCTCAACGCCTATCAGAGAGCATGGTTTTTAATAGATACTCAATAAAGATTACAGATTTGTGTGACAGAATTGGATTCACATTCCAGTCATACAACATATTTCATGTCCAACGTTGGGCGAACCTACTAGACAGCTCTGTGGCTCAGTTTGCTCATCTATAAAATGGAGATAATAAAACTAGAGAGAAAAGGACAGTGCCTGACACATAATAGGTACTAGGAAATAATAGTTTCCATTTCCCCTTGTTGAACAAATGAATGTCTGACAAACGAAAGACATGTTATCTGGACTTTTGCTCTCTGACAGGCTCCAATGAAGCTTCTTGGCTTCTAGACCGAGGGATCAGTTTGCTAATTCAGTAGCTTGACTTTTCAAGGCCATTGAGCCATCCCAACCACCCTGCTTCTTAGTATCACCCATAACCTCCCTTATTACGTTTCATTTACACCTAGAACCTTGGGTATTCCACCCTATCGTGCTGCTCAGCAGAGGTTTCCCTGAATCAGACAATTCTTGTTCTGGGTGACTAAAGCCCATGGGATTATCCTAGCTCTTGCAGTCCTGCAGAATTTTCAAATTTACATCCTAGATACACAGAGACTCCTCCGACCCAGTGGTCCTACCCAAACCCTCACAGTGGCTGGCCTGTCCCTCCCAAGACATTGAAGACTGACTAAACGGGAGGAAAGGGCAAAGACAAAAATATAAATCCCGTAGTTCGAACTTGAGTGGATGGAGGAGTGATGGTATCAGGGACAGAACACCTAGGATGCAGAAAATGATGATGTGAATTTAGCAAATTTTGTTTCAGAATCTGAAACATTTTATCTTTTTAGCTATCAATGGGAGAAAATAAATGGAAAACAAGCTATGAATAGAACTAACCAAAAGTCAAAATGACATTACTCCAAAGAGTAACATAATGATGCATATCAAATATTAAAGCGCATAATCATGTGAAGTATCTGGGAGATGTTAAGTAATTCAAATTATGTAAGGATGAAGTCAGAATGTATAACAGTATCCATTTTTGAGATTATTTACTTCATTATTTTATTAAGTAGTGAACATAGGCTTCCCCATCATTTTTAAATGGTGTCACTCTTTGTACACTTTATATATATATATATTCTCTCATAGTTGAGAATAAAATTCTTCTGTGAAATAGTTTCCTGCAAATTTTTTTCTTTTCTTTAAGTAATTGGTTTTCCCTAGACAAAATAAAGTGTTATACTACCTTGCAGCCTCACTGTTAGGAATGAAGAAAGAGGGGAAAATGCAGGAAGACCCACACATACCACAAAAATGGAGAGTATCCAAGTCCTGGAGGAATGGTAAGTATGCTTCGCCTTGTAATCGTGTCTTGTGTTTGTACACCATTTACATCTACTCAGTGCTGGAGTATTAGCTCTTGTGTCCTGGTACTCCTCAAAATGGTTTTGTGAAATGAATGCATTCTCAGTCTGGGAGATGTTATTTGTGATGGCAACTTCTTTTCATCAATTTTTCTATTACCTATATTAAGCTATCAGGTAAAACACTGCCTGAGTTTATCTCTCTCTTTCAAAAAGTAATGACTGTTAAGGTGAATTAGCCCCTGATTGCCCTAATTCTTCTCTTTCCTGTGAATATTTTTCCTAAGCTTTTCTCTTTATCAGGGAAGAGTCTAAAACACATAAAAAAAAAAAAAGATATGTAATTACCTAATTTGGTTGGTCAGAAAGGGCACCCAGCTGGTCCCTGGTCCCATTTCCATCAGAACAGACTCTAACCAGGTATTTTTCCAAAATGAAAATCAAGTTCTCATTGTAGTATCTACAAAATAAAATTAAAATACAAGTAGATTACTTGTATAGTTATAGGTGCTTTCTTTTTCTGCTTCCTATGAAAAGATTTTAATGTTGGTGCCTCATAGTAATTTTTCCACATTTAAAATTTTTTAAATGAACGAAGTTCAGACATTTTGGATTAGTAACAAATATATTTAAAATACTTGGTCAGAAAAATAAAAAATAAAATACAAGTACTTCTTGGACAAATGTATTTTGGGTTGGAAAATTTTTTTCTTTCCCTTTTTTTTAAAGTTTTTATTTAAATTCCAGTTAACATACAGTATAATATTAGTTTTAGGTGTATAATACAGTGATTCAACACTTCCATACAACACCCTGTGCTCATCACGACAAGTGCACTCCTTAATCCCCATCACCTATTTCCCCCATCCCCCCACCCACCTCCCTTCTGGTAACCATCAGTTTGTTTTCTATACTTGAGTCTGTTTTTGGTTTACCCCTCTCTCTTTTTTTTCCTTTGCTCATTTGTTTTGCTTCTTAAATTCCCTATGTAAGTGAAATCATATGGTGTTTCTTCCTCTGACTGATTTATTTCACTTTGCATAATACTCTCTAGTTCCATCCATGTCATTGCTGAGTAATATTCCATTGTATATATATACACCACATCTTCCTTATCCATTCATCAAGCGACAGACACTTGGGTTTTTTCCATGATTTGGCTGTTATAGATAATGCTGCTATAAACATTGGGGTGCATGTATCCCTTTGAATTAGTGTTTTTGTATTCTTTGTGTAAATACCTAGTAGTGTAATTGCTGGATCGTAGGGTAGTTCTATTTTTAACTTTTTGAGGAGGTTAAAAATTCTTAAATAAACCAATGGGTAAGAAAGCAAGATCTGGATCAATTTAACCGTAAGAATCTCCAAGCTTCTCTTTTCCATTTCTTTGAAGTATAACCAAAGGGAGTAATAACTGGTGGTTTCTGAATGAACATAGTCACTGAAAACTTTAATATAAATATCTAGAAAGTCCTCAGTGTCATTATAAAGGCCCTGAGATTTTTAGCTCTAATAATTCCATTCATGGGTAATTCTTCATTCATAATATTTAATAGAGTAATACTAGAGCTGAGGAAAATATGTGACAAGTGCATACAATGTATTCTTATTTTAGATCCAGTGACAAATGAAAAAGTAGCTATCAGAGAGGAAAAGAGAAACTGTATCTTATGGCTTTAAAGTTAAAACTCTACATCAAAAAATATAAACAAAGAAATTAAATTAAAATCTACATCAGAAGCAAACAAAAATTTCAGTTGCCCTTCAAATTAATGCATAGGGTGTCTTTTTCAATTTGCGATATATTGTTAAGGTTTGAACATGTCTGGGCTTCATTACGAATTTGTGATGACCATGTGCATAGTGTGTATAGCCCCTTGCTATTTGAATGCTTTGCTCCCTAGCACACACTTATGCCTAAACAAATTTTTCTTAATATCCAGAAATAACTAGCCTAGTAGTCCTGGCAGATACTTACCAGATCAGGCTAAACTAATTGTCAGTGACCACTAGATGGCAGCAAGTGAATAGCAATTTCTATCTTTTCTCCCCTACCTGGGCTAAGTATTCTGAGGTCAGAGTTGCCTTTGATAATGGCCCAATTCTGTCTTTGCAGCCAAAACCCCACTTCAGATGAAGTCTTGTCCTGGTCTCAAAATTTTGACAAGATGATGAAGGCCCCAGCAGGAAGAAACCTTTTCAGAGAGTTTCTCCGAACAGAATACAGTGAAGAGAACCTACTTTTCTGGCTTGCCTGTGAAGACTTAAAGAAAGAGCAGAACAAAAAAGTAATTGAAGAAAAGGCCAGAATGATCTATGAAGATTACATTTCTATACTATCACCAAAAGAGGTAAAAATCTGGAAAATATTAATATGGGCTTCCTAAGAACAAGGATAAACGCAAAGGGACCTGTGTCCACATTGGGTAATGCATGGGGTATGGACAGGCTCGAAGGCTTCCCTGGGCAGATAATTTAGATTTCACTCTGACAATCTACCTGAACACAGGTTTGAAGGCTAGGTTTCCCCACTATGCTTTGATCATTTATCTCTCGCTGAATCGTGGGGTAAGCTACTTGCTTTTCAGAACTAACTTTACGAAGCCTGTTAAATACAATTTGCTTAGTACAGTGACTTACGCTAAAGAGGAAAAGAAGAATTTACTGTGGGGCAGTGTTTCTCAAAGTGTGGTCCTCAGATCTCCTGTCTGAGAATCACCTGGAGCATTTGTTTGAAAAGCAAATTCTTGAGGCCTACCCAATACTTCTAAATCTGAATTTTTGGAAATAGAGCCCAGGAATCTGGACTTTTAACAAGCTTTCCATGTACATACTAGTTTGAAAACTTCTGTAATAGGAGCTTTAAAAAAAAACAAAACTACCATGTTTGTTGATGCTTATCATAGAATTTTTACAGATTGAAGAATGGGCCTTTATGACCCATTAATATTCTTAGGGGAGAGATGGGTAATAGCAATACTTTTATTTATTCCAGTTATCCTGTTATTCAAAATGCAAGCTATTTTTGCCATTGCCGAAACATACCTAATAAACAAGGAACATTTCAAGCAAACAAATTAACAATTTTCCATTAACTTTTTAAAAATTAATTTGATCCTAAGTAATGCTCCAGCTGCCAGGGTTAAAAGCACTTGATGAGGGAGGAATGAATAGTGTAGCCAGGCCTCTGGAGTGCTGCGTGACAGAGTTCCAGGGTCCTTTAAAGCATTTGAATTTAGAGGTTCCTGAATGCCTTCTGTTCTCCACACCACCCTCTTTTTGTCTTTCCTCTCTCTGTGCATTTAAATGTCCTGACCTGGTACCTTCTGCTTCACACTCCTCTCCTGTGTTCCCATTTGTAAAGTTCCCTAGAAATAGGCTCTGCTCATTGGTGCTTCATCCAATCCGGGATGTGGCCCCAACCTGCTTTACACCCCTCACCCTGAAATCTATAAAACAAATCCATGTCTACTTTATTGAGGCTGTATAAAGGATTTCACTTCTAATAAGGTATACCTTAGTAAGTTTAAAAAATTTGTTAAGGTTATAATTGCCATTGGTATTCCAGAGGACTCCAATAGTATTGTCTCTACAAAATGAGAAACCTGGAATTGGATACACAAAGATTGTTTTATTTTTTATTTCCCTCATTAATATAGAAAAAGTATTCATAGAAACAAGGTGGGGAGAATTTTTTCTGTAGCCTCAATGCATTTATTACTGATGCCACTTTGTGGTTCTAACATCAGAAATACATTCTTCAGGTTTGTGGTCCGTCTGGAACCTCAGCATCTAGCCAGTTCTACTTGGATTTTATTAACATATACATTTCATTCTCATTTTTATTTTAATTTTGCATTACATGGCAAAGATATCAATGGATCCAAATGTGCCCAATGATGTGCTTCTCTTGCCCATAATTGGTGCTTGGGAAGATTATCTAGCCCATTTCTCTCCCCAGAATATATACTATGTATCATGTGAAAATGATAATTGTCTCAATTACCTAGTCCATTCTTTGTACTACCTATGATTGGTGTTCAATTTAAAAGAATGTTGGTAGAAAAAGTATTCTCCATATGAAGTACATAGAATTCCTTTATTTTACAGTGTCCATTTACTAGTTTTTAGTTTTTATGGGAAACACTTTCCCGTTGTCTTCACACTTCTGATTTTCAGATGTCACTGATTAACGGAGCTTTGTAAAATAAACAATTTTTATAAAATTACTTCTTTGGGCCATAGTTTTAAGCTATCTTAGTTACTGATTACTGAAATATAAACTCTTAGAATTTCATTGTTTTTGCAAAAGTAATGCAGTTTTGTTTTAGCCTAATTTCTTTATTTTGAATATGAGTTTCACCAAAAAGTCATTAAAATACTATTTCCTGATCAAGAGCACTACCTTTCCTAAATTAAATGGACTAATATTTAGTGTAACAGACATATATCTTTTCTCCTTTGTGTATCTGTATTTGGGTCATTACCCACTCCTTAATATCCTCAAAATACCACAGAGAGAGAGATGGAAGCAAAATTCAGATTTTCATCATTTTGCTACTTGTGTGCTGACTTGTAAATAACTCTTGACATAGAATCTAAATGATTGGACTGTATGAGTGCCTTTGGTTAGTCAAGGATTGTTCTCCTGTCAACATAGTAATTACATTTGGTCATTGTTGAGTAGCAAAAACAAATAAACCAAAAGTAGGTATTTGCAATTATAAAAGAAAATTGTTTACAAGTTATATTTTAAGCCAAGGTATAGATATATTTACTCTTGAACCATGACCTGACTCACTGATACACTCAGAATATGGCATGCACTTTCTGGCCACCCCAGAGCCCTTTCTAAACTATTACATCTCACTGACCTTTCTGTGCAAACACTTGTCAATCTCTAATCAGCCACAATACAGTAATAACTGTCTGATGATACCGAGTTGTCACCTTCCAATTTTGTTTTCCAGCAGTGGAGAGAACATATGTTACATCAGAACAGCCCTGACTATATAGTGGTAAGAGCACTGAACTAATCATTCAGGTGCACAAGATTCTGGTTCTGGATCTGCTTCAACCTGATTGTGTGGCCTGGGATAAATTAGTTCACTTCTCTGATTTGTTATTCAGTTGCTTTGTTTACCAAAATAAAGCTAAAAAGGGACACAGAGAATAGTAAACCAAATCCAGAATGACAGCTGTAAGGCTCTTTGCTATTACTCCATTCTCTTCACCAAGTGGCTTATCAATCATGGTTCTTACTGCTATACCCAGATTCAACCAGAGAATTTCTCTCAACACAATATTCAAAGCAGCTGCTACAAACTAATTGGAGTTGGGATCCATTTCCCATTTGGGGGCCAGATAATCTGGCCTTTCTACCTCTGAAATTCTATGACTGTTTCTACTTATTCCGAATATTTTTAAAGAACATGAA